TCTCTCTCTCTCTCTGGCAGGCCATGGCTGTCTGTGGCAGTCTCTCTCTCTCTCTCTGGCAGGCCATGGCTGTCTATGGCTGTCTGTGGCAGTCTCTCTCTCTCTCTCTGGCAGGCCATGGCTGTCTGTGGCAGTCTCTCTCTCTGTGGCAGTCTCTCTCTATTAGGCCTGGAGTTGGCAGTTTGATAAATCTTCCCTCCCCCTTCCGGTCACATGACTGACCGTGTTCCGCCAGTCTGGGCACTTGATCATGTGACTGGGCGTGTCAACAATCAGCCCCCAAGGAGCAGCAGGCTGATTTGGGCGTGGCTGAGTACGCTGAACGCGTCTCTGAGTGGGCGTGGCTTCTGGCTGAGTAATCGGCCAATGACTTGCCAACATCTGTGGTTGGCTGTTATGTGAGTGGGCGGGTTTATAAACCATCCCCTGAGTATCCCCTACCTGTGTGAACCATGTAACCATGGTGACTGTAACCATCACTATCTGTGTGAACCATGTAACCATGGTGACTGTAACCATCACTATCTGTGTGAACCATGGTTACTATAACCATCACTATCTGTGTGAACCATGTAACCATGGTGACTGTAACCATCACTATCTGTGTGAACCATGTAACCATGGTGACTGTAACCATCACTATCTGTGTGAACCATGTAACCATGGTGACTATAACCATCACTATCTGTGTGAACCATGTAACCATGGTGACTGTAACCATCACTATCTGTGTACCATGTAACCATGGTGACTGTAACCATCACTATCTGTGTGAACCATGTAACCATGGTGACTGTAACCATCACTATCTGTGTGAACCATGTAACCATGGTGACTGTAACCATCACTATCTGTGTGAACCATGTAACCATGGTGACTGTAACCATCACTATCTGTGTGAACCATGGTTACTATAACCATCACTATCTGTGTGAACCATGTAACCATGGTGACTGTAACCATCACTATCTGTGTGAACCATGTAACCATGGTGACTGTAACCATCACTATCTGTGTGAACCATGTAACCATGGTGACTATAACCATCACTATCTGTGTAAACCCTGTAACCATGGTGACCGTAACCATCACTATCTGTGTACCATGTAACCATGGTGACTATAACCATCACTATCTGTGTGAACCATGTAACCACGGTGACTGTAACCATCACTATCTGTGTGAACCATGTAACCACGGTTACTGTAACCATCACTATATGTGTGAACCATGTAACCATGGTTACTATAATCATCACTATCTGTGTGAACCATGTAACCATGGTTACTATAATCATCACTATCTGTGTGAACCATGTAACCATGGTGACTATAACCATTATCTGTGTGAACCATGTAACCATGGTGACTATAACCATCACTATCTGTGTGAACCATGTAACCATGGTGACTGTAACCATCATTATCTGTGTGAGCCATGTAACCATGGTGACTGTAACCATTATCTGTGTGAACCATGTAACCATGGTGACTGTAACCATCACTATCTGTGTGAATCATGTAACCATGGTGACTGTAACCATCACTATCTGTGTACCATGTAACCATGGTGACTATAACCATCACTCTCTGTGTAAACCCTGTAACCATGGTGACTATAACCATCACTATGTGTGTGAACCATGTAACCACGGTTACTATAACCATCACTATCTGTGTGAACCATGTAACCACGGTTACTTTAACCATCACTATCTGTGTGAACCATGTAACCACGGTTACTATAACCATCATTATCTGTGTGAACCATGTAACCATGGTTACTCTATCCATCATTATCTGTGTAAACCATGTAACCATGGTGACTGTAATCATCACTAGCTGTGTGAACCATAGTTACTATAGCCATCACTATCTGTGTGAACCATGTAACCACAGTGACTATAACCATCACTATCTGTGTGAACCATGTAACCACGGTGACTATAACCATCACTATCTGTGTTCCATGTAACCATGGTGAATATAACCATCACTATCTGTGTGAATCATGTAACCATGGTGACTATAACCATCACTAGCTGTGTGAACCATGTAACCATGGTTACTATAACCATCATTATCTGTGTGAACCATGTAACAATGGTTACTCTAACCATCATTATCTGTGTGAACCATGTAACCATGGTGATTATAACCATCACTATCTGTGTGAACCACGTAACCATGGTGACTATAACCATCATTATCTGTGTGAACCATGTAACCACAGTTACTATAACCATAACTATCTGTGTGAAATATAGTTACTATAACCATCACTATCTATGTGAACCATGTAACCATGGTTACTCTAACCATCATTATCTGTGTGAACCATGTAACCATGGTGATTATAACCATCACTATCTGTGTGAACCATGTAACCATGGTGACTATAACCATCACTATCTGTGTGAACCATGTAACCACGGTTACTATAACCATCACTATGTGTGTGAACCATGTAACCAATGTGACTATAACCATCACTATCTGTGTGAACCTTGTAACCATGGTGACTATAACCATCACTATCTGTGTGAACCATGTAACCATGGTGACTATAACCATCACTATCTGTGTGAACCATGTAACCATGGTTACTATAATCATCACTATCTGTGTGAACCTTGTAACCATGGTGACTATAACCATCACTATCTGTGTGAACCATGTAACCATGGCGACTATAACCATCACTATCTGTGTGAACCATAGTTACTATAACCATCATTATCTGTGTGAACCATGTAACCACGGTTACTATAACCATCACTATCTGTGTGAACCATGTAACCACGGTGACTATAACCATCACTATCTGTGTGAACCATGTGACCATGGTTACTATTACCATCACTATCTGTGAAAATAATGTAGCCCTGTTTACTAAATGGCCCCGGAGGATGACTCTAGCTGTGTAATGTGATTTAATATAAATATCCCCGCAGAACATGGCTTTGCTGGGTGTATAGTCATGTAAACATGCAGGCCTATGATGGGCATAGGATTTATTAGAGTTAACTTTACTTTGGATTTTGTCTTGTCAGTATGACAATAAGGTATTAAATCACCCTGGAATGCATTAACTAAAATTCTACTGGTGATCTTATTTAGGTGGACCTGAGATTGGATCCATGTACTTACTATAACAATCTACCTGACCTTCATGTTGCAGAGAAACATAAAAAGAACATGCTGTTAAATTAACTCAAGTGCTGAAATGTATTAACAACACAATCTATCACCAGTAGAGGGCACCGTTCATTTAATGAAAATAATCCGGATTATTTTTTTTTTTACATTTTGCTCACCCATTTCAATAATTCACTTTACGTTGACTTTGAAATCCTGACAATTCAGGCTATAGTCCTGTGGTTAGTATATATCCTTGTCAGTTTTATTCACGAAGTTGTACATTTTTGGATAATTGAACTGAATTTCGTTGTTTTGGGGAAAATAGAGAATTTAGAGAGAAAAATACAACTTGGCTCCGTTCACAGTTTAGCATTCTTGACCTAAAATTTGAAACTCACTTTGATTTTCTGACCACCGTTTAGTGAATCATCCAGTTTGTGTCTCGTTCTTGCCAGCACTTCATCCATCATGTTAGTAGGACAGAGATTATTTACATTTAAACAGACACTTAAATGACCCAGACAACTTCATCTCAATTAAAAGTTTACTCCAACCACCATGACCACTTCAGTTATTTGAAGTGGTCAAATATTGTAAAGCGCTATGGAATCTGTTGGCGCTATATAAATGGCAATAATAATAATGGTGGTAAGTGTTTGTATGGGCAGGGTTTCAGCTTGACACCCCCAGCACACGTGACTTAGGCAGCCTGGAATTCTCTTGTGAGAGAGGGTCCCTATAGTATTATAAATACAAAACGGACGCTTTGAATTGAAACGTGGCTGACAGTCTGGAGAACTTGGGCTGAAATCCACAAATTCGCCTGGGCACGCCCGTGGCTTAAAAATCAGAGGGTTCTCACTATCCATTCTCCAAGCACTGGGGAAAAGGGTACTTCTTGTAAAGGTTACAGACGAGATATTTTTTTTAAATGTATTTATTATGCTTGCGCTGTGTTTCCTTGTAACTTGTCTCTGGTGTCTCTATAAATGGGATACTAGGAGACAAACAGGCCAGGAAAGAGTATTGTGCATGTGTTTGGAGCCTGCTTGTGGGGTTGTGTGTGTATAGAGTGAGCTGATTGTGGTGTAGGATTGTGTAATAAGGTTGGTTTTAGTTGTGTTGTGTTTGTGGTGTAATGTAATGCATGTGTGGCTAGTAGCTGTAGAGAGTGTGTGTGCATACGGGCTATAGTGTGTGTGTGTATAGGGGATGTAGTGTTTGTAAAGAGTGCGTTTAGGGAATGTAGTATGTGTTTGCTTACAAGGAATCTAGTGTGTGCATAGGGGATCCAGAGTGTGGATGTCAGGCAGGGGCGGGCTGGGCCGGGGGGCAGGGAGGCAATTGCCCCCCAGGCCGCCCTAAATTCTGTCAGGACCGGCCGCTACAGGTCCGGCCCTTTAACTGCTGCAGCCTTCTGAGCGCTCTGTGAAGAGCCTCAGACGGCTGCAGCTGCTCCTCCCTTGCCCTCCCCTGTAGCGTGGCCGAGCTGCTCTGCTGTCCGCGGTGCCCGGCCGGACTGATAGGAAGGAGTGTGCACTTCCTGTCAGTCCAGCCAGTGACAGAAAACAGAAACTCACCATTTCGCGGAGTTTCTGTTTCCTGTAACTGACAGAGTGCACACTCGCGCTTCCTGTCAGTCCGGCGTGAAAACAAAGCTTTCAGCGCGGAGCAAGATTTCTATTTCTAATACCCGGCCCGAACTGACAGGAAGTACTTTTATATCAGTCGGCAACTAAACAACCCCTCCAGAAGAAGATATAAATAGAGGAGTAGAAAGAGTAGAAGGGAGGAAAGAAATTAAGAAATTAAGAAGAAAGGGGAGAATTAAGGGAGAGTATTAGAAGGGAGGTAGAAAGAAAGGGAAATCAAGAAAGAAAGAAAAGGGAGGAAATTAGAAGAAGGGAGTAGAAGAAGAAGGGTAATTAAGCTTAGAAGAGGATTAAGCAGAAGAGGAGGATTAAGCAGAAGGGAAGGTAGAAGTTAAGAAAGAACAGAGGTGGGGGATTAAGAGAAAAGAACAGAGGGGAGGGGAATTAAGAAGAAGGGGGGATTAAGAAGGAGGGGGGGAATTAAGAAGAAGGGGAGGGGTGGGGGGATTAAGAAGAAGGGGGGAGGGATTAAGAAGAAGGGGGGAGGGATTAGAAGAAGGGGGAGAGGTGCAGGGATTAAGAAGAACAGGGGGGTGGGGAGATTAAGAAGAACAGGGGGATTGGGGGAATTAAGAAGAACGGGGGGATTAAGAAGAACGGGGGTTAAGAAGAACAGGGGGAGTAAGAAGAACACAGAGAGGAGGGGGAAGAGTAAGAAGGACACAGGGAGGAGGGGAGAGAAGGGGAGATGAGGAGAACACAGGGAGGGTGGGGGAGTGAGAAGAACACAGGGAGGGTGGAGGGAGTGAGTAGAACACATGGGGGGAGGTGAGGAGAACACATGGGGGGGAGTGAGAAGAACACAGGGAGGGAGGGGGCTGAAAAGAATACCGGAGGTTTGGGGGGGGGGATGAGAAGAGCACAGGGAGGGTGGGTGGGTGTGAGAAGTGACTGCTAGGGAAGGGTGGGGGGAGAGACCACTAAGGGGCAGGGGAGAGCTCTATAGGACAGGGGGCAGGACAGGGAGCTCTTTCACACTACGCACACACACAATGCATCCCTACACACACAGAAACACAACATGCTTCCATTACACACAGAGAAACACACAAAGACAATGCATCCTTTGCACACATACACAGAAACACAATGTAAACCCTTACACACACATGCAAACACACACACTGCTTCTCTTACATATACACAGAAACACAATGCATTTCATACACACACATACCTTGCACCCCTTATGCATACAAACACAGATTCACACAATACAACGCTTATACACAAACACACACTGCCTCCACTACAAATACACTGCATCACCTACACAAACTGGTATCCCTATACACTACATACCATAAGCACACACATTAGATCCTCTACAATAACACATAACACATCCCCTACACACTCCACTCCCTGTGAGCGAACTCATGGGTGGAACATGTAGGTGGACTTTTAGGTGGGCCTTATGGGCATACTCACCGTCAGGCCCTGGGACCCAGACCTTGAGCTGTTTAAGGGGCCCCAAAAAAATGGAGCTGCTTCCCATTCTACTAGAACTTTGAATTTTGTGACCACAGTTACAAACAGCCTTCAGAGAGCCTCTTCTACACCAGACCAGTGGAGCCAAACCGCAGCCCATCATCATCCTCATCTGGTTGTAAGTAGGCAATCTAGTATATTATTAGTGACACTAATCTATAATTTACCTCACAAAAACGGACACTATAGCTTAATGAAGTGGTTCTGGTGTCTATAGCCGGTCCCTGCAGGCTTTTTAATGTAAACACACACTGTGTCTACACTGTGTCTACTGGTGACCCACAGGAGGGGATTGCACTGCATTCTCCTCCTGCCCAGACCTGTCTTTACCGCAGTGCAAATGCCCTCTGCCCCTAATTTACAGTGGCTCACACTCACAGCAAGCAGTGCCTGGAGCCCTTTGCAGCGATGGGAACAAAGAGGTTCTGCGGCAGGTGGCTGTCCTGCAAGCATTACATTAAACAGCTGTTCCCATGCAGCCACAGGTGGCGCTGTGCTGGGAGATTAAGATTACTCTTCACTTCCTCCCAGCCTACAGCGCAGTGCACGGGAGAGAGAGAGGAGGAGGCATGATTTAATCTTACAACAAATCCATTCAGCAAATCTTTGGGGGGGATCAGATCTGTTTGCACAGTTTATTGGTGTTTACTCTGATGTCTGTATTAATATTGAGGGATTTCTAAGTAGTAACATCAGTATGTGTCAGCAGGGCCAGCCGTTGGGGTGTGCAAGCTGTGCGGTCACGCAGGGTGCCATGACAACAGAGGCGCCCGGCGGCCAACACAGCTCACAAGTTGGGGACCCCAGCATATTCAATTTAAATGATTCACTGGTGGTCCACTGGTGCGCACCAGCAGTAGGTGCAGTCAGATTATATCATCTCCCTCGTGGTTCCGGCGCTCAGTGAGTCAGAGCACAGGCTCAGAGATTCTCAGCTTGCGCTCTGACAACATTGAAAGTCAGAGCCGTGAAGGAGCGGGTATGGCAAAGAGCTACTGATTAGCATAACATCAATATCCGTTATAAAACCAGGTGGGCATGGATGGTGAACTGATTTGGTGGTGCAATGGGCCACTTGACTGGTTTTGCCCCCCAGGCCTAAGGCTGCCAGCCCTCCCCTGATGTCAGGAGTGTAGTGTGTGTAGGTGGTGCAGTGTGTGTGTGTTTGAAGGACCCAGAATGTGTATAGGAGATCTAGTGAGTGTGTGTAGATAGGGGAGAGCGAAAGAGAGCAAGAGAGAGCGAGCGAGCGAGAGATTTGAATGCTTAGGACTGGACAAATCTGTGGCCTTTGAAAGCATTAGTCTGGGGACCGGTTTGCCAGCTGAAATCCAGACCTTCTGTTTTTTCCTTCAAACCTTTCTCTATACCGGCCTTCCTTTCTTCAGAATGCAAACTCTTCATTGTGAAATTCTTAAAGGGACACTGTAGGCACCCAGACCACTTCTGCCCATTGGAGTGGTCTGGGTGCCAACTCCCACTACCCTTAACCCTACAAGTGTAATTATTGCAGTTTTTTTAGAGGGCACTTCCTTTTCCATAGCACAGGTTTTCTGTGCTA